AAATTATTCCATTTTTGGAGTTAATCAGTCTTTTTAGATGCTTTAGAACCATATTCAATATTAAAATTATGAATTGGTTGTTGCTTCTCATAAAATGTCAGATTCCTTCTTCAAACTTAGTGCCAGATGCACGCCTATGTTTATTCCCACGTTATTCAAAATGGCAAAGAAATGGAAGCAATCCAAATGCCCATCAACAAACAGATGGATAGTAAAACTATGGTACAGTCACACAATGGAATACTATGCAGCACTGAAAACCAATGACGTAGAAAAAACATTATACAACAAAGGGAGCCTTGAAGGTATCATGCTAAATTAAATATATCAGTCACAAAAGGACAAATACTATATAACACTGCTGTTATAAAATAGGACAGACATGGCGGGGCTGGGAACGGAATGGGGAAAGAATGGATAGAAAACGAACAATGCATTGGATTAGATACGGGGAAGAATTGTCCAAAAGTAATATATTATTAAGCTTTATATGTATGAAAACAATAGAGGGGGGATGAGAGGGAGAAAATGTGCAACAATGAATTAAAAAAAAAGACTTAAGACCAGGGCAAATTAAAATTCTGTATGTAGGTTCTGTTGGTCTTTTCCATGTCTATCTATTTTAAGACTTCTTTACCTCCATCTCCTGTTTGTTTTTAAGAACAGTAAGACTGACTTCACATTAATTAGGAAAACATTCTAAGATTAACATGTAACCACCAAGAGAAATTATAAAACAGCATTTAAATAAATTATAATAAAAGCTCTCACTTAACAGCATATTCTATTATGTATAATTTGCAAATTGTTGGTAAAATTTCACAATTGTATTTCTTTGCTTTGAGTATTCTCTGTCAGTATTGCCAAACTTTAGGATGAGGCAAGGAGTAAGATAAAATTCATTCCTGCTGCAGAATTCTCTCCAAAAATTCATATTTTTATCCTTTGTAGAGACTTAGCCTTGATCCTTGTCATGGCTGTGTGGCCTTAGGAAAGTCTGCTGAACTCTCTTGGTCTTGGAAAGAAAAACTCTGGCCCTTTTGACCTGTTTAGGAGCCTGAGAAAGCAGACAGAATGTTGAACAGCAAAGTGCTTTGGAACAGCCTAAAACTATTAAACAGATGTGGAAGACTAATATGAAGATCTAGAAATATGTGTCTAAAGTGAGAAGGAAAGAAAAAACCCAAAAAAGAAAGCTGAAAGAATTAGTGGTGTTTTTGTTAACTGAGTGATCTTGGAAGAGGCACTTAATTTCTCTAGACCTCAGTTTCGTCATCTCTAAAATGGAGATTATAATATTAGCTGCCCTTTGTATTTCATATAATTTTTGTATTAAATAAGGCAGCATGTATGGAAATGTTAACCAAAGTAAAGACTATACATCTGTTATTAATACGAGTAGTAATGCTTGTAGACGCAGCAGTATTCATCCAAGGCTTAATTTCATTTAGATGCCTTTGGAAATGAAATAAATCTTTTTAAATCACAGACATCACCTATTTGCTTCCACAGGCAATGCTGCAGTTTAATGAATAGGAGCCTGGCCTCTGGCATCATGCTGAAAGAATTAAAAGAACAGTACTGGTGTTAAAAACTAGCTGTGTGATCTTGAACACTTAATTCCTCTTTGACTTAGTTTACTTCTCTGTAAGGTAAAGATGACATTTTTACTTGTCTCATGGACCTATGAGGATTAAGTGACAATCTATGCAAAGCATACCATATCTGCAGAAGATATTTATAGCTAATTTTATTCTTACATATTAGGTGAAACTTTGACCTCCCCTTAACCAGATGGATTGACCCAGTTACTGCAGCAATGGGCTCGAGTATGCCAGTGATTGTGAGGATGGCACAGGACAGGACACGGTTCGGATCTATTGTTCATAGGGTCACTATGAGTCGTATTCGACTCGATGTCACCTAACAACAACAATAACAATTTTTATAGGGAGCTCTGGTGGCCTAGTGTTAAGGAGTTATTCTGCCATTTCAAAGGCAGATGGATCAAATCCACCAGGAGCTTCATAAGAGAAAGATGGGCTGTGTGGCTTACAACTTCTGAAAACCCACTGGAGGGTCAGCTGTGAGATAGTTCTGACCTGACTGCAAAAACAGCAACAGTAATTTTAAGTTATTAAAGTAGTATCTCAGAATGTGGAATTCTAGGAAAATATGACTACATGATAAAGCATCTAACCCTATAGCTACTTGGCTCTGGTCTTTCGGGCTCTGCTCCGACTTTTGTCTTTGGCAATAGGCATCATATTGAGAAAGATGGACGGTCAGCGAAAGACAGGGAGATTGTCAAGGAGATGAATTGAGACAGTGACTGCAACAATGAGCTTGAACATGGTGGAGGTCATGAGGATGGGGTGGGGTAGCGCAAGGTCCAGATCTGTTGTTCGTGGGGTTGCTCTGAGGCATCGCTGGCTCAGTGGCAAGAATATCAAAGCTTTTTGCTTTCCATCAGCCACTGGAAATGCCTAAATCACCACCCTGACATATCCTAAGTAAAAATAAGGTCTTCACTTTGACTCTGCAGTCAGGACATGCATGAAGACCCTCCAAGATATCTATCTGTAGCCCTAAAGGGTAATGTTGTTGTTAGGTGCCATTGAGTTGAGTATGAGACTCATAGTGATCCTATGAACAAAAACGTTGAACCCTGTTCTATCCTGTGTCATCCTCACACTTTCTGACACATAAGAGCCCATTGCAATGGTCACCGTGTCAATCCACCTGGTTGAGGGTCTTCCTCTTCTTTGCTGACCCTCTACCTTTCCCAGCATCCTATTCTTCTCCAAGGAATAGCCCCTCCTAGCAACATGCCTGTCTTCGAAGAGCACTCGGGCTGCACTGTCTCTGAGACATATCTGTTAGTTCTTTTGGCCTCCCATGGGATGTTCGGTGCTCTTCTTCAACACCACAGCTCAAAGGCATGGACTTTTCTTCAGTCATCCCTATTCATTGTCCAGCTCTCAGATGCATAGCAAGTGATTGGAAAAGCCATGGCCTGAATCAGACACACCTTAGTCCTCAAACTGACATCATTACTCCTCAATAATTTAGAGAAGTCCGTAACTGCAGATTTTCCCAGTGCAAAGAATCTCCTTATTTCCTCATTGCTGGTACCCAGGGTGTTAACTGTGGATCCAAGCAAGATGAAGCTGTTGACAGTTTCAATCTCCTCTCTATCCATCTTGATGCTGCCTATAGGTCTAGTGGAGAGAATCTTTGTTTTCTTGATATTGAGATGCAATGCATACCAAAGGCTGCACTCCTCGATTTTCTGCAACAAGTGCTTCAGAGGGTCATAGAAAACCCATCTCTATACCTCAGATTAGCTTACCTTCCATCAATCCCAGTGACTTCCAAAACTCTTCTTCCCATCCTATCTATTGCCCAGGAGGTTGGGAGATACAGTTGTGCAGATTGAGAAAAATCTCACCTTCTCCATTCTGGAGCCAACAAGCCAACCAGATCTTGAAGTCTCCAACCCGCTTTTGTGAGAGAAATCTTTGTTTCAACTGCAGTTGGATGAGAGGCGTTTCATGCCCAGCGGCATGGAATAAGAGGATGAAGGTGAAGATAAATTAAGTAATGCCATCATTAGGTTATAAATGCACAAGGAAATACTAAAGAGAAAAAGAAGTGGAAGGAGAGGAACAACTGGTGATGCTCTGTACTGGAGCTTTAAAACCAACCAGCCAATCAACCAACCAACCAACCAACCAACCAACCAACCAAAACAGACCCGCAAACCACCCCCTAACACAAACCTTTCCAGCTAGAGTGGGAACTTAGAAACCAGAATGGTGACATTCATGCAGCAGTTCGATGACTGGGCTCAAGTCCATCAGAATAGCTTGAAGAGGTCATTAAAATAGAAATTGCTAGTCCTCACCCACAGTTTCTGATTCAGTCAGTAGTCCTGGACTGAGGTCTGACAATTAGCATCTCCATTGTTGTTATGTGCCATCAAGTGTCCTGCAAACCCTGCTCTATCCTAAGCCAACTTTATTGTCTTTGACACACCTACTACCCCCATTTTCCCAGTTACTGAATCAATCCATCCCTTACAGTGTCTTCCTCTCTTGTGCTGTTGTCCCTCCACCTTCCCCAAGCATGATGTCCCTCTCCAAGGACTGGCCCCTCCTTGCAACATGCTCAAAATATGTCAGACAAAGCCTCAAAATCTTTGCCTCCAAGGAGCATCCTGGTTTCACCCTGTCCAGGACGAGCCTGTTTGTTCTTGGGGTCACACTTGATGAATCACTGTCTCAGCGAATCTGAGAACTGGGAAGCGGTCTTCTTTATAAATGGGTCTCAGGACCAAGTGAGGCAGGGGGAAGAATTGTCTGAGGTTTCCCCAGATACAGGCTCCTCCTCCTGCTCCCCTCGCCCCCTCTTTGGGTTAACCAATTAAAATGTTGCCTTTAAGTAAGAATCTACTCCTAGCTGACCTCCAGCAGGTTTCCAGAGCTTGTAGATTTGATTTGAACGCTTTTCCTTTCACAGGAGGAGACTGCTCATCTTTGTCCTGCAGAGCCGCTGGTGAATTCGAACCTCGTACCAAATTAGGTTGACAGCGCTACCCTTTACCTTGAAACCACTGAAGCTCCCTTGCCTTGGTTTACTGCTCTACAAAAGTGTTCTCGTGTGAATTGACTGCATACCTGGGCATCTCAGCTGACCTGGGGAATTTATGAGGCACTCTCGCCCATGTGACCCACCCATGCAAGCCTTTACCCACCCCTTATCCAAGGGTTGGGGTGAGCACTCCAAGAGAATTCGAAGCTCAAGGATCTGTTGCCTAGCACGTGAGGGCAGGAGCAAGGAGAAGGCAGGGGCTCCCTTCAGAGCCAAATCTGCTGTCCTTGGGTGAAGAGAGGTTTATGGTCCCAACAGCCTCGGACACAGTCCCTGAAATCCGAGCCTGTTGGAGGCAGGGACGCTCTGCAGTTCATGCATCTGTCAATCGGCAGTGGGGGGCGCACCAAGATAGCAGTTCGGGAGCGGCGCTTTGTCACCGCAACGGCAAGAGGCAGAGGGGGCGAGTGAGAGAAGGCGTAGAAAAGAGACGCAGGAACAGGACGGGGCGGCCGCAAAGCTCCATAGTTAAAGGGCTGCTCTGGGGGCTCCAGCCTGTAGTTGGTACGGCCTGGAGGGGGGTGAGTGGGGAGAGTCCAAGAGACAGAGCCGCCTGGCCTGGGGGCAGCCCATGTACGCATTCACGTCCTAGGGAAGCGAAGTTCTGTTCCCTAGACCGGCATCATGCGCTACCCTCTATTGAAACAAGCCCCAGCTAGCGGGTACTCCACCCCCCTTAGCCCACCGCCATGAGCACCCGCGCACCCCCACACACTCACAGTCAAGCTTCTCGGCCTCAGGGACACTATCCCTTCAAGTTGCAGTGCCCTGTGGCCCTTCTGTTAATCACGTCTCACCCCAATGCGCCGCTCCTCGCAGAATTACGGTAAAGGGTGTACTTAGACATTCACTCCAGTCCCAGTGCATCCACTCCGCAGATCTGGGAAGGGAGGCCCTGCACTCGTTTTTCAGCCCTATCTAAGATACCTCTGTTTTGTGCGCTGTTGAGAATGTGATCTTTAGTCCTGGGGACCAAGAGCTACCGTTGGGCTTTGGAGGCTCAGGCTAAAAAGTAGGTTCAGCCACTCCCGGCTGTGTGGCCCCGTGGCCCCAGAGAGAGCTCCCGCCTTTAGCCTTTCTGAGAGTCAGTTTGTCCGTGGCACAATGGGAATGACTAGACCACTTCGGGGAGTTGTGAAGTTCCACAACTGGAATGTACAAGTCTGAGCTCTGCGGGACCTCCATTAAAAGCAGTTCCCAGAACATCTCAATAAATGAGATTTCTTCCATTTAGCAGGGAGCAAGAAGGAGTAAGTCCAACTCACTGAACTTCTTCGTCTGGCAGGCTGTGGGCGCTGTCCTATCCTACACCCTGGAGATGCACTACTTGGTTTCTTATATACCCTCCGTGGCTGTGGGCCTGCGTGGGCTGCAGCCTCATCTAGGCCTGGGAACCATGAAATACAGAGAACACACAGAGAAGCTTATGATGGAGAGAAGCCAGGACCCAGGAGGGAGCCTTTGGGGGCTAGTTAAGCAGTATAGGAAAAAGCCCACCTGGACTAGGGGACAGACTCTTTTGGCTGAGCCACCCTGACTGGCAGCAATGGGCAAGTGTCTTCCTCCAGGGCCCCATGAGGATGGGCCTGCCCACCTCCTGTTAAGAGGCTTGCCCAGGCCTTTGGCCATCCTAGTGCTTGGGAACAGTTTTATCCTGGATAAAATAAAACTCGAAAACAGGTTGGTGCAGCCTCTGTGGAAGGAATCCATGCAGCATACTATTCCTGCATTAACAATAATAACCAAATAGCTGGAGGGATCCCCCTAGCCTAGATGCCTGAGCAGGACCTAGACATTTGGAGACAGGTTCAGATTTGGAGAATTGTGCTCAGGCCAGGACCCATTTGTAAGCATCATCACTTGGTCTGGCCCTCAAGTGCTGTCCCTTAGGGCAATCAACTTTAAGATAGCTTGAGGGAGACAAATGCTGTATAAAGAAAAATACCAGGCAAGGTCACACCCCCTTTCAAATTACTCAGGCAATACCCAGGCTTGCAGTACGGTGACTTTTAAAGGGTGATAGGACAACCACTCTGTACCTTTCCCTCAGAGATGAAAAGCCAATTGTAGTGTTTCTGTGCATTTTTCTGGGGAGAAGACTATTAGATAGATGAGGAGGCTCTGGCTTATAACAGGTTAATACTGGCAGCATGATTGTGGTGAGTCCAAACCCTCTTCAGAAAGGTGCTCAGACACAGTTGGATTTGGTGGTCAAAGAGAGACCAGATTTTATCTCTTAGTATCTCCAGAGTCTCAGTTATAGTGGAACTCCTAACAGTTTGGCCAGCACTTAAAAGGCCCTAAATCCCTTCATACCTTTTTGGGAAGATCAGCTAGTCTCTCCTACCCCACATCTCTGAGCATGATTTCCCCTGTCCTTCCCCAAGGCCTGCATGACCCTGCTGTCCCTAAGGAGCATAAGACTTGGACGCCATTTCCAGGACTCACCCCAGTTTCCACAGGATTTGTTGTTGCTATGTACCAGGTGTTGGAACTTACCCACAGCTGACCCTCAAACGGGTTTTCAGAGGCAGTAAGTTGTTGGGAAGGATATTGTCCCTTTTTCTCCTAAAGAGCAGCTTGTGGAGTAGAACCACATACCTTTAGGTTGGCAGCACAATTTCTTATTACTAGCCATCAGAGCTCCCTTGTGAATGATTTAGGGTTCATACTTTACTTTTCATGTCCTAACTGCGTGGCTGCAAGTTAGCAGCCTCCTCTTAGAACCTAGTGCCTAGTGGCTTTCTAACTGCTTGGCTGTTTACATTTCACATTACAAAGAGGAGGTGAAATCCTGACTCTACTTTGTATGAGCATCCTCTCTGCTTCACATGCCTCAGCTGTGAACCGGGTGGTTCCTAACATTTTCCACAGAGTCAATTGTGAGATTGAAGAAAGTATGTGTGAAGTTCTTAGAACAGCGACTGTTCTTGTCTGGGAGGCTGGCAGACTTTCTGCTGGGCTTGTCTTTGGCCTCTGGGGCAGGCTTGAGCAAGGGCAAGGCGAGGACAGTTCAGTTGTGTGGGCTCTGAACTTTCTAGCTATGCAGACACTCTGAGTGGCAAAAGGGCAGGTGGCATCCTCTTTGAGAGGCTGGTCGATCCTCCTAGATTCTAGCCAAGAGCTGAAGCTTTGTGAAGAGTCACCTGTGGAAAGCTACGGGTGAAGTACAGGGGCTGAAGCATTGTTGAAGAACATGGAGGGACAGGGCCTCAGGATGACTCAGTCTGGGTTTGATGCTGAGCCATGTGCTGGCCATTTGAGTGAAGACCACTGGTGTCCCCATTACTGTGGCAGAAAGAGGTCTTTCAAAGCACTTTTATGTAGATTAAATGAGTGCCAAGGAGCACTGTACCTGAGACAAATTCCAGATGATGGTAGAAGATGTCTGCCTATCATAGTTACTGCAGTGGCCAGGGTGTCCAGGCTCTTGCGTGTGTGTGGATGCAGGGAGACAGTCCAGGCCTCATTTGGTCGCTCAATCTTGAGGAGGTTTCTAGGGCGCCAGTCCTACCCAGGGAGCATAAGAGCCCCAAGGACAGGTAAGCGGAGATGTGGATCTCACCTCCCAAGTGGGGCCTTCCGGAGGTTGGGCTGTAGGTGCAGCGGTGGGTGCAGCTGTGGGGCTGGTGGGATGAGCAGGAGGTGTTGGGAGAGCCTGGAAGCATCCAGCCCAGCCTTGTGCTCCTCAAGGCGAGCGCAGAGGGGTGAGGACTTCTCCAGCCCCAAATCTCCAAAGCCGCAAGCCCTGTGGGCCAAGGAAGAAACTGGTCTCTGGTGGTCACTGCGACTGTGTGCTGTTGCTGTCACTCTCCGCAGACCCTGCTGCCCACCAGATGGGTGACAAGGGTGTGGGGAATGCCAGCCAGGGACCAGGCGCCCTATGCTGACCTCGCGGTGCCTGGGCTCCCAGAGTGGCCGGTTTGGGCCCTGGTTGCAGGAACCTCCCTTCCGACGGCACTGGCTGGGTAGGTATGTCAGCGCTTGGGAGATAATGACTAAGGGGCCAAGATCAACATCCACTACGGCTGCGCGACGCACTTATTATTGTTTAAAAGGAAGCTCTCTTTGTTCTTCGATTTTACTATAGTAAATGAAAATTTTCCCCATATCAAACTGTTTCCCTTGGACCCTAGCCTGAGGTGTCCTCGCCCCCTTCTTTCGGGTCGGACACTCCAGTTGGGGTTGGGTGGCCTCGTTGTTGGCTTGGAAGGGTCTGGGGGACAGCCCCCACCCAGCCGGTTTTCCCGGGGAAGCTGATCGCCTCGGGCCAGCCAGAGAGCCCAGGGCCCAGACCCAGCTTCCGATTCCATTTAAAACGACCCGCGCATCTTATCTTCCGTCGCCTCCTGGGGTTCGCACCCACCCCCAGGCCGGCCCAGCCCCGACGGAAGCGGCGCACAGGCCTTTGAAGTCTGCAGAATTTCAATGAGAGGAGCCAGCAGGGCCCGAGTCCATTGCCCCCCTCCAGGAAGAGGACGCAGGCCCCGGGAGGTGTAGCCTCCCCGCAACTGGAGGTGAAAATTGGTAGGGGACGAGGTCGGACCCCAGTAGGACTGATGCCACCTCTTCTCCGCTTTTCTGGGACTGTTTGAGCCTCATGGGCCGCTGACTTTCGCTTTTCTTTCTTCTGAGAATATACCCTCTGTTTCCAGCCGTGGAGTCGGTAACCTCCAGGAGCGACCAGAACGATGCTTTTTGAATACCTTTCCCCAAAGCCAGAAAATGCATTCCTGTGCAGTCTCCTCTTTTCGTCTTTCTGTCCTTAAAAATCCGACCTGAATATCACCCCTCTTCATGAGAAGATGACGAAAGAATGCTTTAGGAAGAAGTGACATTGCACACGTATTTTTTTCCCCCCTCTAGTACTGGCTGTTGGTATCTGGGGTACAGTTGGGTCCCTAAAAACTGGAGAGACAAGCTGCAGAGATGGAATTAGGGGAGAGATGGGGGAAGGGACAGGAGCACAGAGGAAGCAGCTCTCCCCCTCCCCCAGGTTCACCCTGCCCCCTAATGCCAGAGGAAGCCTCCTCCCCTGGACCAGACCCAGGGAGACAGACACAAGTGGCCTCCTTGATCTCTCAATCCTGTTCCCCTTTCATCTAGTGCGGAAAGCCAGAGGGTAGGGGCATCAAACGCAGGGCATTCCCCTCCCATTGAATGCAAAACTGGGGGCGGGGCAGGGGAGGCCTTTCTTGGACCTCAGGCCCAGAGGGTGGGCTAAGTGTGTCCCCGGAGAAGAGGGAGAACAAACGCCCAGCCAGCGCTGGAAGGGCCCAGCAGAGGGTGGACTCCCTGGTCACCTCTAAGACTGTACACTCAGGTTTCTGCTTTGACAGGGAGGAGAGAACAGGCCAGGCCATTACGCAGACTCTGACCGTCCCCTCTTCCTCCTCCTCCTCCTCCTCTTCTTCCTCAAAGGCTTCCACTACCCCCTAGGCTCCACAACATGAGCTCTCTGGGGTTGGCTCTTCAGCAACACCCCCCAACCCGATCTATTCTGAAGGGCACATTGCAAGTCCTCCGATTTGTGGCCAGCTCTGCTTGGGGTACCGCAGTCCCGGAGTTTGAAGGGGTGATGTCCAAACCTGCACTCCTTGCTCACTGGATCACCTCCCCGCATTACTCCTAACCCCAAAATGAGGCCAAGGAGCTCTTTGCTGTTGCTTTGGGGAGAAGTCAAAAGCAGGAGTGAGAGGAATTTTTGGTCACTCCTGGAACCTTTTGCTTGCCCCACTCCCCTCTCATAACCTTAACAACACAAGAAGACTGAAGCTAGAGTAGGGTAGGGGGATAGACAAGAACAGAGAAAGGGAGGTAGAAAGAAGACAAAAAAGGTAGTTGTAGGGACACTCAGATTGAAAGGAGGTGTTATCAGGAAATGCCCTTTCCCAGTGGCCTCTGGGGTTTTGAGGTTCTCAGGAGGGGGTGGAGAAAAAGGAGCTGAGAACAGGTTACCCTCCACTCAGCTGAATAGGGGTGAGATGGAGCCCATCTGCCTGTCTAGATAGACAGACTGAAGGAATATGAAGACATTGCCAGCCCTGTCTACCTTCCCTGGAACATGACCTGAGAAGGGCTGGCTGCTGTCCTCAGAGACATCATGCTTCCCAAGCCCTCAGCCCTGTGGCCAGGGTGCCTTCCACTCGTAAAGACTTTGCGGAGCTCACTTGCTCCTTTGGGACATTTTCAGTGACTTCTCTCTCTTTTAATTCAAGCACCAGCTGATGATTGGAGCGAGGAAGGGCTGAGGAAAGAGATTTGAGTGCCAAACTCCTATGAACTTCTCCAACTGCACTCAGTGCCCTACCCTAAAAGTGCTCTCCCCTGGGGCAAGAGAACACATTGACTAAGCTGGGGGCCTCTTGGGACCACTGTCCTCTGAGGGACCGACAGGTCAGCACCTGGAAAACCTCTTTCTTTGAGAATTCGTTGACTCTTAATTCATAGCTTGAAATACCAACGGGGGTGGGGTGGGGGGTGCGGTGGAAAAAGGCCATTCAGCCTCTGGCCCCATCCCACTTACCTGTAGTGAGTGAAGTCCCAGAGAACAGGACAGCGATTTCTTCTGAGCCATCTCAAGGTCAATGAAGCTGAGCTGCGAAAAGCTTAAGGCCACCTAGTTTGGGAGGAAAGGAGATTGGGGGGAAAAAAACCCCAAAACAACCTAAGCCCAAAAAACAAAGCCAACCCAATAAAAAAAAAATCCCAGTGAATATTTTGAGTCAGCAGCCAAGGCGGGTCTTTACAGAGGGAGGAAAAAGAAAAAAAAGCATTTGTCTCTGGCTCGTTGGGGGAGGAGAACAGCAAAGTTCTCTTGGTTCACAGAAGGAAGGAAACAGCTGGGGGTGTGACGATAGACAAAAGCATATCGCAGGCTCAAGCTCACCCGACAATTTGAGGGGCTAGTAAAAAAAAAAAAAGTGGAGCTCAGGCGAGGTCAGCTCACCAGGGGAAATAGTAATGATGTCGGGAACAGCGAAGCTGGTTCTCACACTTATAAAAAGCTGGTAAGAATCCTCTTATCACTGTCACATCAAGACACCAAGTTAGGAAAACAAAAGCCAAAACAACAATTAAAAAAAAATCAAAAGCGTATTCAATTACCAAGTCCCTCTGGCCCTGCGGAACCGGCCGCGCGCTAAGCTCCTTTTTTTTTTGCGGAATCCCATTTGCATCCCCTGCGCCAGCGCGTCTCTGTCTGTTTTCACACTCTCCTCCCCATTCGAGCGAGGCCCACACCTGGCGCATCGCTGCCGAGCCATTAGCTGCGGGTCCCCTTTCATCTTCGTTGTGGCTGACGTTTCTATTTATCCACTTGCGCTCGCCGAGTGGCGTCACCAGCGGTACTGTAATGACGATTGCAGCGAGAGGATGACAGCTTAGAAAGAAGAGGGCAATGGGGCTTCCTCCCAGAGGCGGTGCGGCACAGAGCAGCACTCACATCACAAGGTGACCCCGGCTCCCCGCCGCCGCCGACGCCGTCACCACCGGCATCGCGTCCCGTCGCTCCGCGCCCGCCCTACCGCCGGGCCTCTCCTTCTCCTTCCAGCAGCCAAGATCAGCCCGGCCGCTGGGGACCCAGGAAGCCGGGGGGTTAGGAGCTCACGGGGGGCTCCCTCACTCCGGAGACCCCCCCGGAATGGAGAGCCGAAAGGACATGGTTATGTTTCTGGATGGGGTACAGCTTGGCACCCTGGTTGGCAAGAGGGTCTCCAATTTGTCCGAAGCCGTGGGCAGCCCGTTGCCCGAGCCGCCCGAGAAGGTGGTGCCCCGAGGTTGCCTGAGCCCGCGGGCCGGCCCTCCGGCTGCCCGGGAGCGCGGCGGGGGAGGCCCGGTGGAGGAGCCGACAGACGGACTGGCGAGCAGCGCGGCGGGGCCGGGCGCCGAGGCGCGAGCAGCCGGAGCAGCGGTCCTGGGCGCGGGCCCCCCGGCCCCTTCGGCAGACAGTCTCTCCGGCCAGGGGCAACCCAGCAGCTCGGACACCGAGTCGGATTTCTATGAAGAAATCGAGGTGAGCTGCACCCCGGACTGCGCCACCGGGAACGCCGAGTACCAGCACAGCAAAGGTAGCCGCCGCGCCCCTCCACTCCCCGGTCCTCCTACTGCGCCGCAGCCCCGGCTGCAGGGAGACTTCCCTTTTCCTCAGGGCATGGGGCAGGGGGGACCCACCTGAGCGCCCATGCAGGTCTCCTTCTGAGCTCTCGCATTGGCGGGGCTGAGGGTGACAGCTGTGACCCGGGAGAGCGGGAGATGCAAACCCTGGGCTTGAGGGGGATTCAAAGAGCACCCCAACCCCCCAGTGTTTTTTGAGAATGCTTCAACTGAGGCGGGAAGATACCTTCCCCGGGTGTGGGTAGACAGATCAAACGTGGTGGGTGCGGCAGTTTGTGGCTGGCGGGGTGTAAGGCGCACATGGGCGCGGAAGCCTGGAGTCCATAAAGGACCGTAAAATCGCGGCCGGTTAGGGCAGCCCGGGTGCCGAGGCCCTCCGACTGGTTTGCACGTCGGTCAGAGGTCCAAATTACCTTGTCACTTCCCGGGCCCGGCGGCGCCAGGTCGGAAATGGTCCCAATGGTCTAATTGCCTTTGGTCTCCGGTTGCATTTTAAAAGGCAGAGCTCAGGCCCTCCCCCCTTCTCTCCCCTCTTCTCCACCCAAAGGAAAAGGAGCTGCAGGGGTCTGGAGCCCCACCCTTCCCTGGGGTACGCCCAAACTCGGGGGTGGGAGTGGGGGTGGGTGGAGGAGGCCAGTCGCTGCTTCAACTGAGAAGCCCCTCCCTACCAGGGGTAGTGGGAGGAGGTGAATGGCCTGGTGGGGTGAGTGAATTGTCCGGAAGGGAGTTTTTCTCCTCCTTGCCAACAATCCTCTATTCCCTCATCTCCCCGACCCCCAAATGAGAGAGGAGAGCCCACTAGCTTTGCCTCTAAGTAAGACCTTTCAACCGACTGTCAGGCACATCTCCACGAGAGGGCCTGGAATGCAAGGCCGTCCCTTGGCCTTGCCAACCACCACTTTGATATGCACCCACACTCATCCCAAGCCTCTACCATGTCGCGTCCTCGGAAGAACTTGAGTATCACTCTGATATGCTCCTATAATTGGATGTTCAAGCATGCACACCTAGAGCATCCCTCATTACATGCCCCCCCAGTCCACTCTGCACTGGTGGTCTAGAGCACAACAAGAAAACTTGGGCCATGCTGGCACCGGGGTTCACAACACGCAAGCACACAGGTTGACCTCAACTCATCTGCGTGTCAGACACCCACCGCCTTGCCCACCACTGTCCCCAGTGAGCCACTGCTGCACCCTCCTGAGCCTTAGGGCAGTAGGTGGAAGGGCATCTAGACCAGAACTTCCTAGCTGGCATCCTGAAGGTCAGGGCTGTCCCCGCTGGTGTTCCTCGTCGATGCATACAAACGGCAAGCGGGTTATCCTTCCTTCCTCATCCCTGAGGGTCTGCAGCCCCCTAGGAGGGGCAATAACTGAGACCCCACACAAACTCAGTTCCAAGTTAGTGACATCTGTGTGAATGTGTGTGCTCTGGGCTCCCTTCGCAGGGCTCAGCTCTGAGGCCAGTCCCAATGGAAGTGTCAGCGAGGCCCCCAAGAGCAATGGCAGCGGTGGAGGGGGCGGCTCGCAGAGCACCCTGTCCTGCAGCGCGAGTGACCAGATGCGCCGTTACCGCACCGCCTTCACCCGGGAGCAGATCGCTCGGCTGGAGAAGGAATTCTACCGGGAAAACTATGTATCCAGGCCTCGGAGATGCGAGCTGGCTGCGGCCCTCAATCTGCCGGAAACTACCATCAAGGTATGCACGGGCCACTCCCTGAGCCTCGTCAAGAATGTGGGCCTGGGGGCGACCTGCCACAAGGCAGCGAGGCCGGGACCTGCAGGCCCAGTTGGCTTTTGGGGGGTGTCAGGTCACTCTGGGTCGATTTCTCCCTCCTCCTGCTGCTATCACTGCTGCCCTGCAGACGATGAGGACCCTTCTTAGCCAAATAGGGAGTCAGCTTGGCAGTTAGGTTGGTAAGAGGGTCTCCAGTTCATCTGAAGACCTGAGCCGTCAGCCCCTGAGGCTCAAGGTAGTGTAAGCGAGTGGAGGGGTCTGGTGGCTAGTCCATGGTGGTGCTCTGCTAACGGAGCACTGGAGGGGAATGGTCCCTGGGAACCACAGGCTGGCACCTCTGACAAGCCTCACAGTCCTTCTAACACCTGCACACCAGGGTTTGATGGGGTTGGGATCGCACCCCAGGGGGAAGGAAGGGCAGGACAAGGATACTCCTGGGGGGAGGGTGGTGGTGCGGCTTGCTGCCTGGCAGGTCTGGCCTGCACAGTGGGCATGGACCTTTGCAGTGAGGCCAGCCTTCGGGGCTCTGGGCCGCTTGGCCCCGGGTCCGGCCAACGCGCCCCGGCTCCTCCCGCAGGTGTGGTTCCAGAACCGGCGCATGAAGGACAAGCGGCAGCGGCTGGCCATGACCTGGCCACACCCGGCCGACCCCGCCTTCTACACGTACATGATGAGCCACGCGGCGGCCGCGGGCGGCCTGCCCTACCCGTTCCCGTCGCACCTGCCGCTGCCCTACTACTCGCCAGTGGGCCTGGGCGCTGCGTCCGCAGCCTCGGCTGCCGCCTCGCCCTTCAGTGGCCCGCTGCGCCCGCTCGACACGTTCCGCGTCCTGTCGCAGCCCTACCCCCGGCCCGAACTGCTGTGCGCCTTCCGCCATCCGCCGCTCTACCCGGGCCCGGCGCACGGACTGGGTGCCTCGGCCGGCGGCCCCTGCTCCTGCCTCGCCTGCCACAGCGGCCCCGCCAACGGGCTGGCGCCCCGGGCCGCCGCCGCCCCCTCGGACTTCACTTGTGCCTCCACCTCCCGCTCGGACTCCTTCCTCACCTTCGCGCCCTCAGTGCTCAGTAAGACCTCCTCCGTAGCGCTGGACCAGAGGGAGGAGGTGCCCCTCACCAGATAAGGCGCTGCCCCTGGGCTTGTGGCTCCGGATATGAGCGCCACGTCCCTCCCAGACCCAGGACACCAAGGGGAAAGGAGAAGGCCACATGGGACCAGAGAGACACGGTCTCTGGGAAGCGGCTGTGGCTGGCACGTTGGAGGGGTGAGGACAGGGAGCAGGGGCTGAGAGGCTTTCTCTTGGGTCTCTTTTGGCTACTTGGACCCATCACCCCTGACCAGGATTGAGGCCATGGCTCCAAAACGAAATCAAATTTAGCTGAAGCAACAACCAATATCCAACTTCTCAGTGTCCCTTGTCGACACCCCTCACCCCCACACACCCCTTCCTCACGGGTACCCCTTCCTCCTGCAAAGGCTGAGCCCACACGCCAGGATGGAAAGAGAAACTGCTGTCTCGGAACAAAATGCTGTGTATGCAGAGCAAGTAGAGATTAATCTTAGCCAGCTTTCCCAAGGCATGGCAAAAGGCATGTGGCTGGTAACCCAGCCACCTACGGGAGAGGCGAGAGAAATGATTAACTACCATGGAGAGTCCTGCCACTTAACACCCAGTCTGGAGGGGCTCTTGCCTTCGTGGAGTCCCTGTTACATAGCATCTTCTTGTTTACCCGCACCCACAACCGTTATCTGTGTTTCTCTCCCAGCTTCCTGGACATCTCTCATTTTGCAACTCCACCCCCATCCCATCCACTTTTTGTTTGACTGGCAAGAAGCAGTGGCAGCCCCAGAGCCCCTTGGTGGCTTGTGGAAGGCTAGGCCTCTTTCCCCATAGCCCAGTGCACATCCTGATTAGCAAGTGATGTGTGTGAAGAGGGTTTTTGAATGTTGAATGTATAATAATAATCACCATGTGGCTGACCACCGAGCTAGAGCTGAGCTGTTAACAAGGCGCCCAGGGAAGAGCTTAGGGAGTGGAGGCCTCTCCTCTTGCTCTCAGTTTCTGGCAGCAAATTAGACCATTTCCAGACTGTTCACCTTCACTTCACCAGAAGCCTCTGGTTTTCTCTTTGCATTTTGGCATTTTGCATCACCCCTCCTCTTTCCTCTCCCTCGTCCTGAAGTTGCCACTGGACTGTCAGACATCACCACTGGAAGCCTTCCGCCCCTTTGAGTACCTTTGTCTCTCCTCTTCACCAGGATTTGCTCACCATCCCTAAATCCTCACATTCACCTTCACACTTGTGGTCAGTTTTTAAGGGAAAGGAGGATTTGTGCCACTCCCTCCCAGTGCAAGTCACTGGTACTGGGAGGGCAGCTTCTTTCTGTAGGGGGTTTATTTGGTTTGGTAATCCTTTGAAGTCCAAAGAATTTGCTGTTACAATTTGTTAACCATATCGCAATAAAAGCTGGACATGATTCTCACCTCAGTATTTATAATTTTTTTTTCCTGAACAGGTAACTTTTAAAAATTGCAAGTTCAACTACCATGGGCTTGGGTGTGGAAGGACCAAAATGTTGAAGTCACAGAGAATCAGGCCTCTGTCGCTTGTTGGCCAGCTCCAAATGGACTTGGGGCAGAAGTGGAGGAGGCTGACTGCTGAGACAGTTTGGAATGTGTGTCTCCTTAACTCCCAGCACACTGGTCTAGCCCAGTGGTTGAACCATCTGAGGTTCACCCCACGCCCCTAATTACTCCTGCAGTTGCTCCAACCCTTTGAAGCAAGAGAGAGAGGGGGCTTCGATCTTACAGTGACCTGATTCCATTCCAATCACAAGTGGAGACTAGTGTGCCAGGGAGCTTGAGCCAGGTTTGCTGGTCTGCATCTGAGGATTGGAGAGGGCTGGGGCTGCAGGTTGGGTGAAATGTCAAGGGGGGAGAAAAAAACCCCAAATCTCCTTAGTTAGGAAGAGAAGGACTGGTGTTTCATCTCTGGGATGATATTTTAGGTTGGTCATCAGGGCAAGCAGAATAGTAATGTTTGGTGGCATGCACCCGGCTTCTGACAAGAGAGCCCAGAGTGGCACCTCTGAAGTCCCACTCAAGTAACAGGAAGATAGGCGCCCTCAGTGAGGTGGAGAGGCTCAAGGATTCCTGGACAACAGGAGGATCGGTTGCTCATGCAACCAGCAGCAACCAGCAAATGGGATCTTTCCTCTGCCTTCCCCCTCACCTCCATAGGAAGCGCTCCAGCATTCAGTTGCCCTTGCCTTTCAACCAAGCCCTGCAGCAGAGGTTTTCTGCCTTACATCAGACTGCTGCTCCCTCTGCCAGAGCCTGCGGGAGCTTCCGGGGCGCCAAACTCGGGCACATTTTGCGGTTGCTTGGCGTCAGGCCGAGATTGCTTGCGACAGGTAAATGGGCTGCGGGTTGCTGTAATGCCAGGCGTATTTTCAGTTAATAGGGAGGGAAAATGAGGTGTCTGCAGCAATATTGGAAAGTACAAGATCGATGATCCGGCCTCGTGTCCAATCAGCAGCCTTTAATTGACTGTATTTTCTGGGTAATTGAGCCTCTCTTCCTCCAAATTGAAGTAGAAGATATAACAATACATCTTGCCAGGAGGAATTACTCATTACTCCATAATGAAATTTCCCTTTTGCCAAGGTTTGCGGTTTGGCACTATCCACCGTGCACTTCCTCCCCCCAATAAAAACACGTTTACCCAAGTCCACAGACACCAGGCAACCCTATTCCTTTCGACATCTTCATTCTCCTGGGGGTGGGTGGTGGTGAGATGACCACGCAGGAGACACAAAGTCTGCTCACCTTCAGTCACTGAGTTTGCAAAACTAGAAAGCCGGCTCCATCAGATAACTAGATCAGGCTAGCAAGGGCCTGGCATGACACTAATTACATTTTCCAACTTTCTGATAGCCTCTACTCAGCTCTGTCTGCTATCAGTTCCATTTTACAGGGAGGCAAACAGAGGCTGTGAGTCTCAACAGCCAAGTCATAGAAGCATCTCTGAGCTCTGGGATCTTCCTTCACATTTCTCTTCCCGCTTCAAGGTGGAGAGATTCCATGGTCGCTTCCAGCGAGTGTAACACCACATCCTGGACTTATTATCTTTCCCACTTCTCCTGGGGGACTCAGTCCAGGGCTTGGCTCTGGTCCGCTGGGGGCGCGACAGGACCTGCCGCCCTGCAGCCCAAGAGTGCGCCTGGCGCGGGGCCCGTCGTTGGCTTGTTAGCGTGTGATTGATTGCCTTATTAAAGCGTGTTCTTGTAAGTGTGACCAAACTGATTGCATTGCATATGTTTGGTATAATGTTCATTTTAAACAACAGGATAAAGAGGATGAGCCCGGCAGAGCCTCCGAAGACTAAATGATTCTGGCCAGCAGTTCTCTAACTCTGGCATTAAATCGCCCGGTTATATAGCAAATCATTCGATTCTTTCACTCGGTCCCGCATTTCCCTCCCTTTTCCTTGGTCTGAGGTTTCAGTGCATTCCGCAGTGTGGTCTTCCCACCCCATCCTTCCTCTCTGTAGACGTGGGCTTCGTCTTCCGAAGCCATTGCCCCTGCACCTGGACATCCCACACCTGGAGTGCCTTGCCAACCAATCCCAGGCAGACGGACTTAGTGTTTCTGAATGCACCCGCTCACCTTGCATCCCCCTCTCCCTCCGGGACTGGCTCTAGACGGGCACCCCATCGTGAGTTCCCACCCTTAAGCAGGTTGAGGGCTCTCTTTCCCGGAAGTTTAGAAGATTCTTTTGTTCCTCATCCTCTCCCGCTAGGTTGCTTCCATTATTCGCTGACTGAGGAATCACCCGCCGCCATATGTCGGCTGGAGAGCTTGGGGGGGCAGTTACTGGGGACGGCCAGACAGATGACTTTCTCAGAGCGGGATGGCCTTTGCCTTCTCAGCACCCTCTCTGCGTACTGTCGCCTAGGAGTGGGAGCAGGAGGAGCCAGTAACTACTGGGCAGGGAGGAGGAACAAAGATATGTGGAGGGCAAAATATTGAGATTTCTTTTGATTATCCCTTCTGCCCCCCAAAACCTTGTTCTTTGTGACGAGCTTCTCTCCCAGTGTGGGTCACCTTTCTAACAAAGAAATCCTCCTCTGCTTCCATCCACTCCTGTCAATTCACGGGAGCCAAATGCTTGCAGATTGAACTTCCTAAGGGACATCTCTGGGATAAACTGGAATTCTGATTTGTTCAAGATGATGACGGTCATCAGAACAAATCAGAAACGATGCCACTCTTTGGGGTGTCATTTGTAAGTGCATCCGCACAGATTCGTTTGCAAGATGCAGTTCAAATGTGCCTGGATAAGTGATTTGGTCCAATGGCAAATGTCTCCCCTCACTGAGCTCCTCCCGGGCTCTGCAGGGGCCAGTGAAGCCAAGGTCCAGGTCATCATTTGTGCCCGCTTGTGACACCCTGCCCCTTGAACGGTGACCTCAAAGGGGGGGGAAGCTCAACTACAAAATGTACGTTGCAGTATACAAAGCAAATAGAAACACGAGTCCTTTCCAAACTTGCCTTCTCAGCAAATAAGTACATGTGATATTCTGAGCAAGAGCAGGGGGGAGAGAGAAAGATTGCCACTTAAAAATAACATGAAAGCATTAAGTAATTATTTAAAACAAGGCTGTTTAGAAAAATATTTGTATTTATTGCAGCTGCTCAATTGGCCTCGTTAAAGTCGGCAAGCATTTAAATTGTGTTACAATCTCATTTAAATCCCTCTCCGTTCCAGCAGGCTGAAGAGCTTGAATAGACCAATCACTTCATAATGATGATGAATGAGAAATTAATTCAGATACAAGCAAGACAATTTAGGCCTTCATCTGTTTAAATAGCCTTCCAATATTATTCGCGATCGCGGGTCACAGATTGAATCAATTGTCCAATCTTGTGAAAGTCATATCCTTGCATCTTCATCGAGATTATTTATAGCGCAGTGAGGGCTGCTGAAAGGTAGACGCTGTTAACAGGGACAATTACTTAAAGGGAAGCGTTTATAAAATGGAAAACAAATGCCGGGGTTGGTAACAAATGGGATCAAAAGCAGCCATTCCAATCTGGTTCCTCCAGGGAAAGGAGCGGGCGTGGCCCCGCAGGATGAGGGGCGCTGGGGGATCAGCAGGTGAGGCTGGGCTCCCCAGGCGC